CCATTTTACAGGTTGGGAATTGAGGCACACCCACATTAGGGGCCAGATTTGGAAAGGTATTTAGGTGCTCAGTGGGATTTTCAAAAGAATCTAGGAGCCTAAAACTCATCCATTTCAATGGATATTAGGTACTTCTGAAAATCGCACCCGGTACTTAAATACCTTTAAAAATATGGCCCTAAGTGACTTTCCTAAGATCATAAGAAGTCCGTGGCAGAGACAGGAACAAACTCTAGAGCTACTGAATCCCCGTCCACTGACTGAACCACAAATTTATTCTTTTCTCTCTAGATTACAGCTGGCTGAAACGTGGAATTTCTGGTTCTCAAGAAATTTAGTTATTTCTAAATTTGTGTTTGCTTGGAATTGGGAGGAAAACAAATGGGGTTCCTGGCACATGAGCAGACCACATGGCAAGGATGCCTTGCAGCTGCAGACTCTAGACCCCAGGAGGGCCCCCTGGCCTGGAGCAGACCACATTGCAGAGCTGCCCTGGAGCCGCACACCCTACAATACTAGGTTCCCTGACCCTGAGGCATATCACTGTGTTTCATCAGACAATTTCTGACTAGCTTAGGCTTCCTTTCTATGCCACCTGGAAGTATTCCACAGATCACTAATGCATGGATGCAGATTGAGACTTGTGGGTTGATGGCAAAATTGTCCTTGTGCATGTAACCCACTCCCACTCAGTGTGATGCTCTGTCCCCCTTAAGTTGTGGTTGGGACACATACAGAAGTTGAAGAGTCTGCTCTAGCTTTGCGTAATAAAGCTGGCTATTTTAGCTCCTGTAGAGGATGCTCATGCTTTAATACCGGAAGGTCCCAGGATCATTCTCAACTCAGGGGGTCTGTGTTACATACATCTGAAATGTGGGCTGACACATTCTTTTTGAGGAGTTGTCTGTCTCCATGCAGAACCACTGTTCCAAAACATTGTCCTGTCTAGTTTTAATTGAGTGCAGAATCACCCTTCCTTCCCCTGGGGAAAACTGTCCTTCACCTCTACCAAACGGAATTACTTGGGCCACTTGAATTCTTTCCTGTGAGCTTGTCTTTTGAAGAATATTTTCCTCAATGCCCTTTTCATGTCCTGATTCCTTAGACTGTAAATCATTGGGTTCAATGTTGGAGTGATTACGCTATACACAACAGCTACAATTTTGTTCATGTTAAAGGAGGATCGGGCCGTTGGGCTCACATACATGAAAATCACAGTCCCGTAGTACAGAGAGACCACAGTCAGGTGGGAGGTGGACGTAGAGAAAGTTTTATGCTGGCCTTCAGCAGAAGGGATCCTCAATATGGTGATGACAATGTACATATATGAGACCAGAGTGGACAGGAACGTGCTGAGAATCACTAAGGCAGAAAGCACGAATATGGCCTTCTATGTTCTGTATGTGTCCATGCAGGCCAATTTTAGCAGTGGTGGGATGTCACCAAAGAAATGGTTGACCGCGTTGGGGCCACAAAATGGTAAACTGATCACCAAAAAGGCAGCCAGACACCCGCCGATCCAGGAACCAATAATCAGCAACATGCATACTCTTTTGCTCATGATGGTTGAGTACCTGAGCGGGTAACATATGGCCACGTATCTGTCATAGGCCATCACTGCAAGGAGGAAGCACTCAGCCATGCCAAGGAAGAAGAAGACGTAAGATTGCAGCAAGCAGCCAACAAAAGGAATAGTTTCACCTCTGTGAGCAGGATGCACAGTAGCTTGGGGACTGTGGTTGAGGTATATCCCATGTCCAGGACAGACAGATTCCCCAGGAAGAGGTACAGGGGGGTGTGGAGGCGGCTGTCCATCCTGAGGGTGATGATTATAGCAATGTTGCCTGTGATGGAGAGGAGACTAGGAAGAGGATGAAGAGTGAGACTTGTACCTTTCGGGTGCCATGGAAACCCAGGATAATGAACACTTTCACTGAGCTAATGTTCCATGGATCTACATGCGCGTGTTTTATCATCTACCAGAGAAAGCAGAACAAAAGGGTCAGAAAAATTTTGCGACGCTTTCTACAGATGAATAGAGCATGTCAGGAGATTTTCAACTAAACAGCTTGTGTCAGAAAATGTCAGTTCATCAAACTTTCTCCAATTCAGGATGGAATGTCTGTCCTTTCTGTGGGTCATCTACATCCCAGCTGAGTGCCCTGACCACTATATCGGAGTGTGTGTCTCTCAAGTACCTCTCCTGATGCTGTTTCACGCTGTATAAATAATTAACTAGTCAGTGTGAGAAAGGCAGCGGCTTTGATTCTATAGCGTGGTGCCCAGGGCTTTGTCTGCACTAGCACTTTTGTCAGTCAAACTTTTGTCGGTCAGGGGTATGAAAAAAACACACCTTTGACTAACATAAGTGTCACAGACAAAAGCACTGATGTGGACAGTGCTATGCTGGTGAGAGACGCTCTCCCACCAATATAGCTACCGCTACTTGTTAAGGGTCGTTTAATTATGCCAGCGAGAGAGTTCTCTCCCATCACCATAGAGTAGCTAAATGGGAGAAATTACAGCTGTATCGCTGTGTGCTCCATAGTGTAGATATAGCCTCAGGCACTTGTCTGGGATGTGGAAGACAGATGGCCAAACTTCTGCTCTGAATCAGGCATACAGCAACATACGCACATGTTATACATGCTCCCGTAAGCCCTTCAAAACAATTTCAAAAGCAATTTTTTTAACTTTCTCTCTGTATAAATCTTGATTATTGATCTTTTTAAAATTAATGGAAAATAGAAATCCAAACACCCTAGGTGACTTTGAAAAAATCTGCCTTAATAGAAATAGGTTCATAGAAATCTCCACAAGTACATTAGCTAGTATTGCATATTATAAAGGAAGTCAACCCTCATGTTTCAAGGCACAAACCATCCAAAGCTGAGGGGGTCAGGGAGAAACATCTCCTCTGGGCAGGAAATATTATTGCTGCACCATCCTCTGAACTCTGTGGCACTGATCACTGTGAGTGGAAGGGTATTGAAGTGGCTCACCGATTTGACTAGCCATTAAGAACGTAGGAATTACCATGACGGTTCTAATCAGAGTTGCAGTGGCCAGCACCTTGCAAGTTCAGAAGCTGATGGCAGGCAGGAATTTACAATAAAAATAAATTCTGCATTCCAGATACTTAATCCCAAAGAGTAGCTGCTAAAGTAAAATCTAACATGCGTACCATGCACATGAAAGCATCTCCGATTTCTCTAAGTTCTCAAGATAAATGATCAGACAACCCAAAGATGTGGGCTATATAGCAAGGTAACAAGTGAGTCACAAGATGTAACTCTAACCAAAATGAGTTCAAATAAGAAAACAAAAATATTTATTCATCTCCTGGGTTCTTTTCACAATCCTCCCGATTGCTTCCTCTCAGCAGCAGGACTCTGGTTCTGACATACCATAAAGTTTAAGGGCCTATTTCAAGTGTACTTCATGTCTCGGGAGGCACAGTCAATAAGGCACCTCCTGGGATAGAAACGCTGCAGGAAGATCATTGATTTTATTTCTGTTGGCATGAGCAGGTTGATAAGGAAATGTGATCCTTATGTTCTAGGGATACGGTCCTAGTGAAGGCACTTCCGAAAGGGATAGATAGATAGATATGAATGAAATTCAGAAATTCCATCCCAACTTGGGACAAAAAGTTGAAATTTCCTTACAATTATCTACACACAGTTTTTATATGGACATATTATGGACACAGTTGTAGTGTTATAAAGGGGTGGACATCAGCCTAAGGCAGTTTTGAAAACCCAAATTTATGAACCTAACTTTAGGCTGTTCTCTTTCCATGTTTAATCCATGATTATTATTTAAATAATTTCAGTGGAAGAGAATAACATCACAGCAATGATAACTTGCAGGAAATATGGCATATTTTAATACAAACACAATATAATCTGTGTACACATGCACAGGAAAAAAACCCACATTGAGTGTGTTGCCTTATTCATGGATGGGTGTATGGATTATTGATTCATCTCTTAGACTGCCCTGGTTAAAGATTTGGTCTCCTAAGGGCTATGAGCATTTGAAGACCCTAAGAGCATACGAGAAACAATTCCAGTTTATGGAAAGTTCCTTTATTAACAAATGCAGATCAACTACCGCATAGATACTAAAATACAAAGCAGATAAAATGCTTAGCCCCATATACAGCCTCACTCACATCTCCTGCTGGGGGGACACTGGAGAATCAGTCATTATTCTCATCTTCATCACACAGCTGGCATCCTGGAATCTCCCCATGCATTTCTTCCTCCCAACCCACAGTACACAGGCTGGACAACACATTATATCCTGAGTTACATTTGCAACAACTAAGGCTCATACCTATGCTTATCGGTGTCAACTTCCTTGTCCTCATTTGCACCTCCACATACCATAAACTTTAGGGTGCTCTGCTTTTCATAGGTTATCATCCTAGTTCCTCTTATTCCCATTAGCACTCAGGTATAGAATTTCCTATGGTAACCTGTGGAATAGCCTCACCAGGAGAGCTTGAGGGAGCCCCACATCAGGATGGCCCCTAGCCCAGGGGTGAGGCAACTCAGCTGAGAGGTAACCTGTTAAAATTCCTCAGCTGGAGGTGGGGACTTAAACTGGGGGTCTCCTGCACCCCAGGTGAGTACCTGATTCACAGGACTGAAAGTTATGAGGGAGCTTCTCCTCCCCACCCCCACTATTTTGTGTAAGCAGGTGACGGGGATGGATCACTTGATGATTACCTGTTCTGTTAATTCCCTCTGGGGCACCTGGCATTGGCCACTGTTGGAAGACAGGATGCTGGGCTAGATGGACCTTTGGTCTGACCCAGTATGGCTATTCTTATGTTCTTAAGTTAAGCTAACCGATAGGGGCACAAGCTGATAGGTGAGCTCTGAGCATGTGGACCAGAAGGGGTCCTGCTGGCGAGATAGTCAGAGGAATATTTACTGTCTCCTGGTTTGTGCATTGCCCTGGGCTTTGGCAGGAGATAGGCCGCCAGGCGCCTAGATGGTGGGTGTGGGGCCATACTGCATATGCATGGAAACAGAAACATAGGCACCTAGGGACTGTACGGCAAAAACGTAGGTGCCAAGCAGGGTTTGGCAGTAGCTGAGCAGGGATTTTGTGAATCCCTGTGAGCCCTGATTCTGGGATTTTAGGAGCCTAAAGTGGCAGTCAGATGTGTAAGTCTGTTTTGTGTCTCTAGCACTTAGTCTCCATTGAAAATCCCATATACAATGACCAATTTCCTTTTTCAAACTGATATGCAGAGTTGGTTGGAAAATGGAATTTCCCTTCTATGGGAAATTCAGCATTGCAATATTTGCTAACCAACATGGCAACATTTCCCACAGACCAAAAATTCAAAAAGAGTTTCAAATCAGGAGATTTTTTGTTTGATAATGTAGAGCCATTTTTTTATAATGTCAAAATATTTTGGTTCAATGTGATAAACATTTTATTTCATAATGACAAAAATGTCTTGTTAGATAAAATACTATACATTATCTATAATATTAAATATATGGGACAGTGGAACAATGGAAATGGAACAGATGCCTAAGGAGGTTGTGGAAGCTTCTTCACTGGAAGTTTTCAAAAGAATGCTGGGTAGCCACCTCTCTTGGGTAGTTTAGATCCAACAAATCCTGCATCTTGGCAGGGGGTTAGACTAGATGACCCTTGCAATACATTCTAACCTTATAAAACAATACTAAAGGTGATATTTTAGTATAAAAGTTGACAAAATAATTGTAATGATAATCCTGAAATAAAATATTTTTATCTTATTGAAGTGAAATGTTTCAACATTAGGTAAATATGTTTTCAGGTAATCAAAATGAAATGAGAAACCCTAAACAAGTTGTTTCATTTTTTCCCCCATTTAAAACTTTGTGCTCAAATAGACATGCCCCAGGCAAAATGTTGCAATTTTGATCAAACTCAATTTTCAGATAGAAAACAACTCAATGGAAAAGAGCTTCAACAAGCTCTGCTGATATGGCCTTTGGATGATGTTACAGTTAGAAATATTTCTCTCTAGAACTGAGATGTTCCTTAATTAGAGCCAATCAAACAACAGGGGAATAAAGATGGGGACTTGGAAATCTTCTAATGGCATTTGAAATTTCATTGAGAAGTTAAAAATTCCAAAAATTCCATGAGCTCTGTTGATTTGTAACAAATAAGAAAAATATTTTGCAAAAAATATTGTCACTTTTCACACTTTATCATAATTCAAAAAAAATCAGGGAAAATCAAAATTTTGAAAATTACAACAAACTCCATTTTAATAGGGACTATATATACAAAAATGTGAACAAAAATGGGGGTAAATAATTGCAGATGGTTTTGTATTGAAGTTCAAAATCTACATAAAATATCATAGAAATATTAAATTCGAAATATTTTAACTAGTTCAATATGAAGGATTTATCCTTAGAGCTTCCCATTAGGGGACACTTCCCTCAGTACTCAAGATGACTCTCAGGGTATATTCCAATAAGGGAGATTTCTCTTTAGAGCGGAGCTATTCCTTGGTGTACTGTCCAACTGGAAGAAAATTGCCTATGTTTTTGGAGGAAAGATCTTGATTCCCATTCTTCGAATTGCTCCTTTAACATCCTTGTTCCTGAGGCTGTAGATAATGGGGTTCAGTATTGGAGTCACCACCGAATAGAACAGAGAGAGCAACTTGTCCACATCCAGGGAATAGCTGGATTTGGGACGTATGTAGATGAAAACGGCTGTCCCGTAGAACAGTACCACCACAGTGAGGTGCGAGGAGCAGGTGGAGAAAGCTCTGTGTCTGCCTTTGGCAGAGCTCATTTTAAGGATCGTGGAGATGATGTGGATGTAGGACACCAGGATCAGCAGGAAGGGCATCATGATGATGAAGGCAGCTGCCACAATGATTTGGAACTCGTTCCAGGAGGTGTCCCCACAGACCAGCGTCAGCACCGGCTGGATCTCACAGAAGAAGTGGTTGATCACGTTGGACCCGCAGAAAGGCAGTGTGAAGATAAACGTGGTGTGGCCCAGGGCCACGAGGCTGCCACAGATCCACGAGCCGGCAGCCAGCCGGACACACACAGTCTTGTTCATGATGGCCGCATAGCGCAGGGGGTTACATATGGCGCTGTAGCGGTCATAAGCCATAACGGCTAGCAGGCAGCACTCTGTCGCTCCAAGTAACAGAAAGAAATACATCTGTGCAGCACAACCGACAAAGGAGATAGTTTTATCCTCCGAGAGGAGGTTGGCCATCATCTTGGGCAGGGTGACAGAGGTGTAGCAGATCTCCAGGAAGGACAAGTTCCTGAGGAAGAAGTACATGGGGGCGTGAAGGGCTGGGTCCACATTTATAAGGATGAGGATGAGGATGTTGCCCAGCACTGTGATGAAATAAATACATATGAACAACAGAAAGAGAAGGCGCTCCATATGCGGGAGGTTAGAAAAGCCCAGTATAATGAACTCAGTCACTGAGGTGTGATTTTCTCTGATCCCTTCAGGATATTTCATCTTGAGAAATACACACACACACAAAAAAATTCATTATTTTGATACAGCATTTAAGTCAAACAAAACTATCTTCATACTTAGATAGATAGATGTCTATCTCCCTCTCTCTCTCTAGACATCTATCTATCTTCATACATACTCATCTCTTTCTCTATCTCCCTAGACATCTATCATCTCTCTCTCTCTCCCTAGACATCTATCATCTCTCTCTCTATCTTCCTATCTATCTTCCTACAATCTCTCTCTCTCTCTCTCTCCATACATATCCATCTATCTATCAGGGCTGACATCATATTGGCCAGATTCTGTCCTCACAACAAGTGTAAATCCACGGAAACTTCACTTAAGTCAATGGTTCTTAGTTGTCTCAGTTACATCAAACTTAGACTTGTGTATCTCCAAAACTGCATTGGAAATGCATCTGTATTATACCAGTCTCAGTCAGTAGAGAATTTGCACGAATTAAGTTGCAACTGTGGAAGGTTGAATCCAGCACAGTGAATTTACACTGACGTAACTAAGATCAAAATCTGTCTCTCAAAGCAGGGATGTTGCAACGTAGATACAACAGAAACATACGCAACTCTCAGCTCACATGTGATATAGGCAGTGGAACTATGTAGATTTGTCAGCAAAGCGTATAGCTGTTTCACCGTACTTCCCACTACATAACAGTTTGAACAACAAACTGTGGAAACACATGGATAGAGCATTTTTAATCAGTATGCTACAGAAATGGCCTGATTCTCTTTACACTTATTCCGGATTTATAGCAAAAGTGCTCCACTGACATCAGTACCCTCAATCCTGATTTCTTTCTCTTCCCTCCCTCCACCTTTATGCATTTAATTCTGTTTCTGCCCCTCTTAATCTACCCTCTAACCTCTCTCTTACTAACCTTTTTAACCTTTCCCTTCTCCTCACCCCTCCAATTCTAACCCCCTCCCAATCCATCTTTTTTCCCCTTCCCTCTCACTGGTTGCACCAGTGTAAAACTACAGTACAGGAAATGAGAGCCAAAGCATTTCTCACTCTGTGACCTCAAAATCATATACATGAAAGATGATTGGCTCTCTTGGATGTACACTTTTAAAAGGAACCTGTATAATTTAGTTCAGTTTTGATTGTTTGTTTTTAGTCTACACGGAGCTGGATCCACACTGAATTCAAGGTGGGTGTTTAACCCCTTTAGGCTCTGCTAAAAATCCAGGCATAGATTAATATAGAAATGCCTGAAACTTTGTTAATGCAGAGTTTCCCAGTGAATCCATTTTACCTTTCCAGAATGTGGAGAATGGTTCAACTTAAACCTCCGAGAACCAGGAAATGACCCATTTACCCTGTGACTTACTTTCCTTTCTTCACACTCTGATCCATTGTTCAGGACCCAGATTACATGACCCGGTCTTTCATCTTCCCTCTATTTACTCACCTTGACAATGTTGCAGAAGTAAAATCAAACATAAGGATTTTAGGGCACTTTAAAATATTGTTATTAGACTAGAAATCTTGATATCAGGCAAAAACTTCTAAAAGCAGCTCCTGCAAAATGCAAGCAGCGTGCACATGACAGATCCTCTTGAAACTACCAAGCACAGGGCTGTAACCCACAATCCGGGGCCTGAACCTCAGTTTCAATGATCACCATGTATCACCTTAAATCATCCAGACACTGTGACAGCCAGCTCTCTGAAAACCCTCATGTGTCAACAGAGCCCTAGGCTTGCTCACATGTGCACTTCAATCCCTTGGGCACATGCCACCTTGGAGATCTAAACTCTGTTCTTCAGAAACGTTTTTCCAGCATTGCACCCCAAAAGGGGCAGTGGGTGACATGCACTAGCCGAGTGGCTGATTTTGCATGGTCAGAGCTATAGTTTGACCACAGGTATGTTCATATTAGAAGAATGAGATGATTTTGTACAGTGCTGTACTTGAAGGGCTGTTTCCAGAAACCCTTTGCCCACATGTCCCCACATTTTGGCCAGAAACACTAGAAAGCCCCCAGACAAGGCACAAGGAAATTGAAGAGGATCTGAGTAAACAGGCAGATTTTTGATCACTTAGAAAAGCTGACATTTAAAAAATAAAGCTGCTTTGTCCTCAACCTTATTTGGAACAGATCTGGCACCCGGCTGTAATGAATATATTAACAGACGCCAAATGGTCTTTGTCACACTATAATCACTTAGGACATGGTTATTCTTTCTGTTAAACTGGATTAAATCGGAGGTCACTTCACTGAGATCTATGAGGGTATGTACATTTAAACACAAAGTAAATGAGATCAGAATAGAACCATTCATATGCAAGTTTCATAATATTAATGGTACTGGAGTTAAATTCCTGTCGTCACACTCAGAATGAGATGAGAAGCAGGACCTGAAATGTTTTACGCCGGGTATATAACAGTTTGAGGCATGATGTGAATTTAGCCAGAAAAAGTGTCTAGATTCAGGCTCTTTCAGAATAATCTAAAGGGGTTCAGCGTAATTCTACTTGCATCGAGAAATGCCTCACCTACCTCTTCAGCCCACATGCCTCTCCTCTCTCTGTTTCTCAAAGGAATTGGGCAGGGATGGCACTGGAGCATTTAATAGCTTCTTTGGCAAATGCTCTAGGGACCTGCTCCTTGATGCTTCTTAGACTCCCCGTTACAGGAAAACCTAACATAGCTATTAAGCCCTATTCTTTCTTCCTGTGCACTCGGGGAGAAAACAGTTACAGGTTTCAGTGAGAGCACAGTTTGGCATTTCGTTTGTTTTTTTGAGTCCGTAGGCCAGATTCACAGTTGTATCAATCGGTGTGGCTCCATTGAAGTCAACGTGCCAGATCCTCCCTGCTGGTGTGAATTGGCACAACTCCACTAAGCTTGTTGGGCCAGATCCCCAGTTGGCGTAAGTCAAAGCTGTTCCATTTAAGTCAATAGTCAACACACCAAGTGGTGTGTACCAGCCTACCCACACTGGAATCTCTGGGGTCACAGCCATGTACACCAGCTAAAACTGTGACCCTATAGGTGTAGTAGTGACTGACCACTACAGTCTGTAGCGGTGTTGCAGAAGTGGGTCCCAGGATATTACAAAGGTCATATCTGTTATTGGACCAACTTCTGTTGGGAAGAGAGACAAGCTTTCGAGCCACACAAAGCTTCAGGTCTGGGGAAGGTACTCCGAGTATCACAGCTATATACAAAGTGGAATAGATTGTTTCCCATAAGCAGTTAGCACGTATTCTAAAGGACCATTCAAGGTGGAGTGGCCTGTTTACACCTCTGCAGTCACAGGACAAAAAGAGAGAGTTAATGGGTTACAGATTGTTGTAATAAGCCATAAATCCAATGTCTCTGTTCAGTCCATGAGTTTTAGTCCATGTTTACATCACAAAATTATGTCAACACTAGAGATCTTGATTTGGCACCGCTGTACCAATGCAGCTGCGCCGCTGTAAGGTCTCCCATGTAGCCGTTCTAATATGACTATAAAAGCTGTCAAGAAAGAAAGAAAACTCTCTCTCACCCTCTGAAACCAGGAGTTCTACCTTGGTTGTCTCCAAACCTGTAAAAGGTGGATGGGTTGAGAGGTATTTGAGGTTTATTTTGTGACCTTGGGTGGGGAGCAAGCCCAGAGACTCTCCAAAGTTGCTCTGCATGTTTTCCTTTGACACGAAAAGCTGCTTTGTCCTCAGCCTATACATGGCCACACAAGGGAGTAGGTGTCAGTGAGAATTCCCCACCTGTAGCCTGATTAAATACTTAAACTATAAGAAAAGATATATACATCTTGTGTGTATGTGTGTATATGTATATACACACACATACACACAAGCAAGCAAGTTAGTCTTATAGACTACACACCTCATGTGTGGCTGCATGCTGGCTAACTGGGTCTTTGCTCTGCTAGCAGGGGGAGTGAAAGCACCAGTCACCCGTATCTCCTGGGAGCAAATGGAAGGGGAGGGGTGAGACATGGTGCAGAGCAGAAGGCATGTCTGTTCACATCCCTGTGTGTCAGCTGGAAAAAGGACAGCAATGGGAAGAACTGGGCACAGTGATACTCTGAGGTGATACACTGCCAAAACCCAAACAATGTGGGCTGAAAAAAAATAGTTTGGGGGCATCTTTCCCATCTGCAAAATGGGGATAATGGTCATTACATCCTTTAAAAAGTGCATCGCCATCTCTGAGTTATCAATGGAGCTGATTTTCATTAAGGTTGCTGGAGCTGATGGTAGCCTACTGTTATGTACAGCGATTTCTGCATTAGCAGTCAGGGACTCTTGGCTTTCTATCTATCTCTCCATCCCATACACAGTCATCCATCGATCCATTCCTGTAGTGATGCGAGGCACGGTGCCTCCTGCTGGTTGTCTTTGGAATTAGCTCTCCAGTGTATGGAGTGCCCTCTGCAGGCCGCTGTCTCACCTGCCACTGGCCCCCTGTCCCTCCCAGACCCCAGTGCCCTTTACCTCAGGGTTCTGTCCCTGCAGTAACCCCACACTCTCCCAGGGCAACCCCCAACCCTCTAAACCCACCTTGCCACAGCGGCTACTGCCAGTCAGGGGCGGCTCTAGGCACCAGCAAAGCAAGCACATGCTTGGGGCAGCCCATTTGCAGGGGCGGCAGGGATCCAGCATGGGAGCTGAGAACCAACAGGGGGCCCTGGGAGCTGTAGTTCCTTGGTTAGGTCCCTGCCTATAGAGCCAGCCCTAGAGCAGGGAAAGAACTACATTTCCCAGCATTCCCTTGGCCACTACCAACAGAAAAGAGGGGGAGGGAGTGGGGAAGCTGAGACCTCATGCTGCAGCCTGCTATGAATGGAGAGCTGCGCTGTGAAGGGTAGGGATACCATATTTTAACATTCAAAAAATAGGACACTCCACAGGGAGGGAGGGTAGCCCCACCCTGGCACCATCCACCCCCTCTGACTGCCCCCCACAGAAACCCCAACCCATCCAACCCCCCTGCTCCCTGTCCCCTGATCACCCCCTCCCGGGACCCC